TGCAGGCCAATATTGTTGCCGTAAGCTCATCCAGGAGGAGCGTGTCTTGCAAGGTTTACCTTGATATAAAGTTGTAAACAGTCTGGCTGTATTGGCCCTGTAACGTTCGTGATCAGTGTTAAAATGAGGAAGTCATGTCCCCTAAAAAAGCCGTGGCGCCTCGGGGGGCTTCCTCACGGTCCTTTTCCTGGGAGCAAGTTATTTACTACTCTTAACTCAAACTGGGTAAAAACATATAAAAAGGACTATAGAACAGGAGTAAAAAATAACAGAGTTTATTCCAGATCAGGTCTTTACAGGACAGAGAAAATGCTTGGAGCTTGCACAGCTGTGGGCTCAAAAATCACGTCCGCGAGCGTCCGACAAAAATTGAGCCTCGAACAAAATCATCTCCTGCTTCTTATACCTTATGAGTCTATGTGCTGCATCATGTGGATGCTTAGCTGTCCGTACCAGAAACTGACACGCCATCAATGCCCTGACCAATATGCAGCTTGCTTCTATGCCTCAGGGTTACAGATAGCTCCCCTCTATCAGACCGGCTCCAAGATGTGCCCATATCCTGTGTACTTTTAAAGACACGAAGGCTGTCCTGATTAGATGACCTCCATACACAAAGTGACATCCACAATGTGAAGGAAGGCCCTCTACTCTGTCTAATCTGGCTAACAGAATAACAATGCACATGATGTATAAATAATAAACCCAACATGAGCTTTAGATGAGCTTGGCATAATAGAAAAAAATTAAATTGAATTGATAGGAATTGCACTCCCTGTAGTCTGGGGTTCCCTTTGGATATCTGGGGCAGAGCAGATCAGAGGCCACCCACACCTGCTATTGAATATACTCTCAAGTAGCCTTGCAAAACCATCATACACATATGTGTATGCATATATACACCATCTGTTTGGTTCTAGGTGTCCATATACAGTACTGTATACACACTAATAGTAAATACCAAGCTGAAGCTACTGATATATACAACTTAAAACCACAGTGTTTTATCATCATATGTTCATCATCATTGTTTTTTTTTTACTGCATATACATGTGCTGATTGTCTATGGGATACTTGCTCATTCTTTTGGCTAGAATGTTATATGTATGTTTTTTTGTTGTAGTTTTGTTTTCTATTTTCTTTACCTCTTTGCTCCTTATGCACTTGTAGAAGCAGAGTTATAGGAGCTATTGTATATTTACTGTGTTGTTTTTTTGTTGTTGTGCTGTTTTCTTCTTTCTTGTTTTCGTCTTTCTCTCTCCTCTTAATTCTTATCTCCTCTCCCTTTCTCATCTCCCTTTTTGTCTCTGTGTCTTTGGCATACAGTTGTATTAAATAAACCATTTCTAATAAAGTTGCATACATAATTACCAAGTGGAACATTACGGCAACAATCATAGTGGTCAAAATAAATAAATATATATGTTCTATGTTAGCAGATAAGCATGTTTTATTCATATGGATGAAAAAATGTATAAATATTATTTCAAAATGCCATTATCAGCTAAAACACCAACACAGCAGCTCCTCTTTGAGAGTATTGAGCTTTTTTAAGATGTATTTTTTTCTGAAGGAGACAATATAAATTACAAATGAAATGATAAAGTATAGCAAAAGTTTAAAAGCATCTATTACACAAAAAGGTATTATTCTTTTGCAAGTTGCTTCGCCTTGGACATAAACAAGATATTGAATCTGAATACTCGGCTTGAATCAAAAAACATGCTCAATTTTTTGCATCGTATAAATTGCTGTTTTCTAAGGCTGTGTTATACCAGAGCTTAAAAAGTTACTGCATTATGTCAGTGTAATAACCCTAATTTTGGCTGTGTCTTTTCATTAGTAACAACAGCTGATCTGTGCGTTCCTGACTGTTTTAGTCCTACAGACACATCCTGCATTCATGCATTCAGTCAATACAGCCCTGTTTCTTCTGCATGTTTCCCTTACTCATACATGCAAAGGAAACTGTTTGATCATCTGCATGTCTGAGAGACAGTCTGATCAGTCTGACACAATTCTAGACCCACTGAAAGCAGGTTCAGACCAGTCAAGCGCTGTTAGCTTCTTAAAGTGACCTGACGTAAAGGTACAAATTATGAGATCTGTTTGTGAGTTGTCTTCACATACCCATTACATCCAATGACCATGACCTCCATCAAGCTTCAGGTGCTACTAATGTGTCTACAAGCCGTCGTCCTTCTATGCTGCCCTTCGCTAACTGACTCCTAGAGGCCCCTCTGGCTGCCCATGACACATCAATCCACTCATGATACATTGATGTACTGGTTGGTGAAGAGAAGGATTTTTTAAAATGTTTAAAATATTTCAGTTCTGCACAATTTTATTCACTGTGCAGATTGGGCTACCTGGTTCAGTGGCTGGGTACAACAAAAAACATGATGTAGAGATAACTTGAATCTCCCACCTCTGCTTTTTACTACTTAATTTTTTTTCTGATCTTCGTCCTCCCGCACTGTTTACATTTGATCACTGCTGCACTTGCACTATGGAATGAAAATGTTCATAAACTGTACAAATGAAATTTCAGTTTGTATACCCATATATACAGTATGACAATAAAAGTTCTCTAAGTCAGTGTGTCAGTGTCTCAGCACTGATGCTGGTCTGATTCCTCACAAGACACACATGCTCAGCTCCACCCCATTCTCACTTCTATTCATCTGAACTATCTGCACCTATCAATATATAACCAGCCTTTAGAACAAACATCAGTGCCAGATTATTTTGAGCCATTGGTGAGATCTATTCCAGCGTTCTGTTTCCTGTCCTCCTGCCTCTTTACCTGACCTGACCTGTCCCTGTTTCTGAACCTGCCTGATCCCTGTCTAACCTGATTGTCTGTCTGTTCTGCCTGACCCTGATCTGTTTGTTTGTCTGCCTGCCCGTTGCCTAACCTGGAACTGTTTCTCCACCTTATCTTGGATTTCCCTCTGGTGCCTCATTGGACTTCTGATCACCTGCCTCTGATCCTGGACTTTGCTCACGATTACAGATTTTGGTTTGTCCTCCTGTTTCTCCTGCCTACTATTGTCTTCACGGTTCTGACCCTCTGCCTGACCACAGAGTTATTCTCTAGGACTTGCAAAGCAGTAATAGCAACATCAGCGCTACTGTTAATCGGCTCAAACTTAACCTAGTAGTTCTTCCCAAGATTGAAGACTAGGAGAAGGTTACTGACTATTACGTTGGTGATTACAGGACATCATAAAGCTAGATGGTCAATAGTCTTCGTTTCCAGTGGTTCCTGCCCTAGTCGCTGACACCACCTGCAGTGGTTGTTGTTTCAATAAACTGTGTTAAACTTTTACACTGGTTGTCTGGTTTGAATTCTGGGTCAATCTTTTCTGATCATTTCCCAGTGTGAAAGATTTCTGAAGAGTTAAAGACAAAATGCAAGGGAAAATCTTGGCCAAAGTTCATCCAGGAGACCCTTTCTAGGAAGTCAATGACTGGATGCAACTGGTTTGTCCTTGACAGAAACTTTTAACCAATCTGACCGTGTTGTCACTGTAAAATGCTTTGAGATGACATGTGTTATAAATTGAAGCTATATAAATGAACTGAATTGAAATACAACAACAAAGAAGAAGAAAACATTAAAACATAATACTATAAAAGGTAAAATGTTTGACCATAAACAAAATGCTTTTAAAATAAAAAATTATATTTCCCACGTGTTAACTATTAACTGGCCACACCAAAATCCCCAAAAAAGATATTGAAACAACAGAAAAACCATGAATTAAATCAGTATCTGTTCATTCACCATTGAAAGGGTCTAGCCTGTCCTATAAAACTGATGCAATGGCAGACAGTGGCCTTATCGTGGCAATATGAGGTTTCAAATTTGGGGGCACCACATTCTGTACCTCCGGTAGAGGGAGCATGACCAGTTAATAGTTTAATAGACATTATTATTATTGTAAGACAACTCACCATGCACTTATTGGGTTTTTCTCCAGAATGGACCCTCATGTGGATGAGCAGCTTATAGCGAGCGTTGAAGGGTTTGTTCCGTCTGACACAGCCAGTCCAGAAACATGCAAACTCCTCCCCTTTACGCTGATCAATGTGAACTTTTTCAATGTGCCTCACCAGCTCCTCCTGGCTGCCATACGTGGCACTGCAGTCGATCCAATGACATGACTGCTCCTGCTGGTCCAACGCCCGGTCTTGTCCTGCTAGTCTACTGAGGCTGGGGGAGTGAAGAGGGGACTGCCTTATATCCTGAGCATTGTTACCCTGCGGATGCTGGCCTGGACGGAAAAGCTCCCCCTGCTGATTGCTTACATTAAACGGTTCCCTTTTACATGGTGAGAAATCGTCTGAAGGTTCTTGTTTAATTGAACAGTAATCATCATGTAGATTACTTTCTTGAGAAGACACTTTGCGATGGTAATCAGAATAAGGCATGTGTGAAGTAAGAACTGAGGGCGATGAAGAAGAGGAAAGGGATGAAGGTAGTGATTCGAAAGATGGAGACTGGGCACAACTGGTCAGTAGGTAGGGGATAGGAAGGGAGGGCTGAGGGTAGCAGCTGACCCTCTGAGTGTTGGTTTTCAGGTCTGTTTGACCCGTAATGACAAAATCCTCCACTGTCTTTTCTAAGTGGTGTCCGACTGTCTTACATATGGGCAGAGAATTGGGGTTGCATCCCAGCGAGGTCCTAGGAAGAGAGCACAGTCCTCCTGAATGTAGCGAGGACTGGCAGAGGCCCCCGAAGGATAGCGGCGCCTGAAGCTCCTCGGCATCCTCGAACACACTCCCAAAACTGGGAAGAGTGAGCTGCACGTCTGGAGGGCCGAGGTCAGGGGGCCACATAACAGCCCCCTCTGCTGCCAAGAGACCCTGCTGATAAAACCACCGATCTCAGAACAACCTTAACAATCCACTGTAGGCACAATCTTCCATAGCGTCCTCCAAACTTGGCAAATGAGCAGTGGAGGGCATCTTCTGCAGACGTAAGCTTGTCTCATTTACTCCAAAGTGTAGCTTGGTCAGTCATCAGCACATCTCTGTGGAAAACAGAAACCAGAATGATCAGGAAAGATAAAAGCCCCAGCTGGTACAGGAAACTACAATCTAACAGGTATGTCTGTAAGAGTTAGTGGAAAGTAAATGTTTAACAGATTAATATCGCAAAAATGCATCATTACTGAAGCAGCAGTCAAATCAAAAAGAAAGAGATTCTTAAAAAACAAACATATACAGGCCTCTTTAAAACCTATAAAATCCTTACATGTCTAAATACAGTGGATTTCCATAGTGTTAGCATCTTATTGCAGCAAATGTATAAATGACAATGCAGAGCTGATGTGTTTTTGTAAATTGAAGGTTTATAAAAAAAAAAAAAGTCCAGATCATAAAAAAAAACCCTGAAATAAAATTAGGGTGTTCTTTCCTTTCCAATGACTTTACTCAGATGAGTAATTTCCTATGATTTATGTAGACCTCGGGTGGAAGTTTAAGGAGAATAAAACTCTCATTTAGGTTTTACTTTGATTTTTTTTCTAAAATGACTTCAAGTTTTTTTTCACAACTCCCTTGAAATGCCTCAAAGGACAGATGTTGGTGTGTTTAAATTGGTGGACTGATCATTTAAAGCAGCACATTCCCTGCATGGGCTAAACTGAGTCAGGATGTTCAGAGATGTTGTGACTCAGCTGGCAGTTTACAATCCAACCATCTGAAACTTGAAACTAAAATGTTGCACTCTGACTTTTTTCCTTCTCTTATTTTCACTTTGACCTCGGCAGCAAGTGTTTATTCAACATTGCAGCTCAGATAGAGACCACTGGCAGATAATTGCCTGAAATATCCGACTGATAGGTGTTTGCATGTTAGGATTAATAGGTTATGATGCAGAGTCAGGAAACAGCTGAAAATGAAGTTCTCCTCACCCTTCTCACCACTACAGTAGCTCTATTATGTATAACAGCCTTCCTCTGATTATTAGGGATGACTTGTACTCCTCCATCTGCCAGATATTGATGATCTAATTTACACCCGGATCTTTTCCATGGGTAATTAGTCATCTGAACACTTCACAGGAATCTGTGCTGATGAAATCCCAGTGATCCTTTATGGCCCATAAAGCAGCCCAGCTAAGAGGATGAGTAAGTTCACTTCTGTAGTTATATTAGCTGACGATGGAGTCACTAAGTGTAGGTTCAGACCCGTATTTCCTGGTATAGCCTGGTTTATAGTTTTATGATTCTTCCCGTAAATCGCTGGAGTTCCCCCCACCGGAGTTGTGTAGCAGACCAGTCATGGGAACTGTGGTTAGATCTTAATTAGAGAGGCTGCGATGTGTCTGTGCCTCAGTGAACTCAATGGGATTAATAGCCAAGTGGTTTGGTGTCACTGAAGAATGAAAATTGCAAACCACCACCTGTTGGCTTTTCAAAGTTGGAACTAATATTAGGAGTTTTGTTGGAAATAAAACCATCAAAGACTAAAACAAAACCATATATAATAACCACTCAATTGTTGACAATCACATCCAATCTTCTGTGATTGTTTCAGTTTTCCAGCTGTAAGCGCAGATGTGCCTGTTCGCTAAAAACGCTTTGGTCCCGATCCAGAAAGAAGAGCCAGACAGTGGAACTAAGAAAAGTGTCCCACAAACCCTAAAGGGAGCCAGCAAGCGCTGTAAAATAGCAGCCTCATCTCATGTGGTGTCTTTTAAAGATCCACTTGCTGAGGTTGGCTAAACACAGCTGTGGCATTTCAGGACAGCCAAATGTGTACTTATCTCAACAATAAGCACAAAGGACTTTTTTTATGCTTTCTAGATTAACTGCAACATGGGAAAGATGTGTTTTGTTGTAGTTTTATTCTTTATATGAGCCTAATCACATGGAAACCAACATTTCTTATTATGATCCTCATAAACGATCTCTGAAAGTATTGATCCTGGATATGATCAATCTATGCAGATCTACCGTTTATTCAATTCAATAAAATAAAAATACTTTATTGATTGGGTTGTTCGATAAGAATCTCTCTGAAATGAGTTTTTGGAACTTAGGATGTCTATAAAAATATCTGCACAGTAGAGAGCTAAGGGAAAATTACATCATAGTTGACTTGGATTATTGCACTTGTACTTCAGGTTATGAAGACCTTGTCTTTGTGAAATTATTTCCTCAGGTTGTAGAGGAGTTCCTAGAACAGAGCTGGCCGTCATTATCAGCTTGTTGAGCTTTTTTAAGCCATTTGTTCAGATGATGGAGGGAGATAGGACACATCGTCCACAACAGACTTATGGAAGATATGTAGCATCTTGTTGCAAACACCAAAAGACCTAAGCTTCCTTAGGAAGTACAGTCTGTTCTGTCCCTTCTTGCAAACGGCTTCACAGTTGTGTCTCCAGTCTAGCTTTTCTCCAGGTGAACACCAAGGTATGTACGTATACTCTTCCACTACCTCTATTTCTTCTCCCTTAAGTTTAACAGGTTTAAACTTGCTCCTATTTCTTCTGAAATCTGCAACAATCTTCCTTGTTTTGTTAACATTCAGAGTCAGATGATTGTTTCTACACCATGCCACAAAGTGGTTCATCAGCTCCCTCCTTGTTCATCTTTGATGATTGAAATCATCTGAGGTTTATTTTAGATGACAGGACTCTGCCTGGTGCTCAGAGTCAGAGTTGTACAGAGGTGTTGTTCCTCTCCACTGTCGCTACAAGCATGTTTGGTGTGAGGGATTGCTGAAGAGTCAATTAGTCGATGCAATCAGCTGGTTTTACTTAAATAGAAAACTTTGACCCAAACTGACTGTATGATCTGGTTGAATTGTAAAGTGCCTTGAGATGACATGTGTTGTGAATTGGGGCTATATAAATGAATTGAATGGCAGTGCATTAAAAAGGAACAGTAAGAGTACCATCCCCTGTGGTGCTCATATGCTGCTGAATTCCTGATTAGACAGTTGATCCTTCAGTCTCACAAACGGATGTCTGTTTATCAGGAAGTCTTTGATCCTCCTATAATAAGATGCATTTTCAAAGGCCGCACATCTTAAAGTACAAACACTATTTTCATAGCTTTTTTGTGACAGATTGACAAAAACTAGCACATGTTTCTAAAATTGAAGTAAAGTTATGACTTTTGTGATTTGTTTTCAAGCTCTAAAAGGTACACTTTACCAGCTGTCATTTACTTTAATACAATAAAAGATATTTAAAAAAAATCTCCTTTAGAAATGTTCAAACAATTAAACAGAGTCCACTGTATGTAAAATAGTTTCAGCAATATCAGTTAACAATCAGCATCATAAAACTAAAGATCACAGCAGACAGGTCAGAGGGAAGGTTTACTGTCAATTACAAAATAATCTCACGCTTTGAACATCTCACAGAACTCTGTTTAAGCCATCGCCTGGAAACCGGAAGAGCAGAACAAAACTGTAGACCTACAAAAACAGAGCTGCTCTCCTCACTGACAGCACATGGAAGGCAGTAGTCGTAAAACACCAAGACAGATATTGTAACTCCGGAGGAGCTGCAGGGATCCACAGCTCAGGTGGGAGAATCTTTTAGCAGGAGAACTATCAGTCTTATAACAACAAAAGCTTGATTTCTCAGAGGCCTGGAAAGGACAACACTGTTAGGACTGCAAAAAAAAATTATTTTGAGAACCATTTTTAAAATCACAGACAACTACTAGTATCAGATATTCCTAAAAATAACATTTAGTCATGCTCTACTGTATGTCTCAGTAGCAGAAAATGTATGAGTCTTTAAAATTATCAAAATAATCTTTAAAATCATTGATATTTCTCTGTCAAGACAGCAATCATATCCAGCTTCAAGCTTTTGATAAACCGTGTTTTTGGGATTAAGGAATTTCTCTTTATTTATAGACAAAATCTGGAAGCTAATCTCTACCTGAGGTCTCCGTTCACAAAAAAGATATTCTCAATGTTTAGTGAAGTGTTTATTTTATATTCCAACATTCTGGTATAAAATCCATAATTGAATAAAACCCCTCTACTCTAGCCAGATGAGAAACGTTGAACTTTTTGGCCTGCAACTAATGTTGTACATTGCAAAGATCAGAACATACCATTTAGGAAACATGGCGATGGCAGCATCATGCTGTGGGGAGGCTTTTTATCAACATGAACAATTAAGCAGGTCAGAATGTTAATATGAAGATGGAAAAAGCTGAATACAGAACATTCTGGAAAAAAATCATGTTTCATTCCCAAAAAATAAAATTGATAGGACCCAAATTAAACAACCAAAACTAAAATGGAAGGGTTTATAGCAATGCAAATAGTACTTGCTTGTCTTAGACTTAATTCAATTGAATCCAGTTTATTTATGTAGCGCCAATTCACAACACATGTCATCTCAAGGCACTTTATGGTTCACCAGATCATCCAGTCAAATTGATTCAAAGTTTTCTATCTAAGGAAAAACAGTTGATTGCATCGACTCATTGACTCAAAGGCAATCCCTCACACTAAGCATGCCTGTAGCAACAGTGGAGAGGAAAACTCCATTTTAAGAACCAGGCTCAGTGTGAGCGGCCATCTTCCGAGGCCGACTGGGGTTCAAGGAGACAGAAGCAGAGATATAAAAGGCGGCCCTATTTATGAAACAAACAGCAAGGCAGACGAGCTCCAAGCCAGCTCCCAGGTCAGAGGATGAAGAGAGCACATCCAGCCAGCCACAGTCAGAGAAACAGGACTACACTGAAAAACAGGCCAAGCTCAATCATCCATTAACGGGTGTTGATGGAAGCAGCAAAGCTGATATTTCTCTCCAGGATGGTGTCATAGAGAATAGAAATAGAATGAAGCAGAATGATGAAAAAGGGGTCCCTATGTCCTCCAGAAGTCTGAGACTATAGCAGCATAACTATAGAGATAGCTCAGGATAACTTGAGCCACAATAAATATAAGCTTTATCAAAAAGGAAAGTTTTAAGCCTAGCCTTAAAAGCAGACAGGGTGTCTGCTTCACTGACTTAGACAAACTTTATTGTCAAAATATCATATAAACGAAA